TTTTAAAGTATGTTTATTGTTTAATACACTTTGCTGTTGATTATTCAGTTAATTGTTTCTGTGTAGCATTCCATAAATTTTGTGATAATCTACTTTTTTTGACATGGGGATTTGATCATTAACTATTAGTATTTGAATTTTGTTTGCGTATAGTTGGCATCTTGCAATGACATTGTACTTCGTTCTTCTGGAACCTCACAATTTTTGGTCTAAGCTGTATCATGAAATATTTGTCCTGGGTTTTGTTGGATATAGTGATGGGGATATTAAGCTTTTTCATGACACGTGAATCATGAAACTTTGCTTCTTTAACTTCCATATTATACTGATTTTCATACTAACATTTTATGATCTTTAGAAGAAAATGTCATTTGAATGAAGTCAAATAACAAATCTGAAATATTTAATTAATTATATTGCTGATTGGCTGATATTCAATTTGCTTCGTACTGGTTTCAGCAATTGGATCATTAATTCATGGCTGCTACAGTATTTCAATTTTAATTCCTTGAAAGATAGAAGCCTGACAAAATGTTCTTTGCCGGAATTTGTCCATTCAGTTCTCTTCTAACCTCTATGCTCTAGGAAAAGTTAATTACAACCACTTGCATCCTCCCAGGGGATCAATTTCAGATCATATTATTGACTTTAAATGCTCAAATATGCTTATGTTCTTGTTATTGTCCCTCTTTAATATGGAGTACAACAATGTTGATGATGTTGTTGTGTTGTAATATTATAATCCCATCACAACGCTTTTGCTGGTATGTGGATGCAGAACTATTTTATGCTTCTTTTGCATTTTTGGCATACCTGCTCTCATATCTTTTTCGATACTGATCAGTGAAACGATTATTTGAACTTTCAAATCTTGCATGAAGGTTGCTGATTTTAATGTAGAAGCAGCACAACAAGGGATAGTATACATTGATGAAGTTGATAAGATAACCAAGAAGGTGCACCTCCCACGCCTTAACTTTTTCATATGTTATGTTATGAGTTCTGATGTATCCTATTTTTTGTCTTCTTTTCTTCTTTTAATTTGAAGGCTGAGAGTTTGAATATTAGCCGAGATGTGTCTGGGGAAGGAGTTCAGCAGGCATTACTGAAAATGCTCGAAGGAACTGTAAGTATCCTTTTGTTTTCAATTTTCTTTTCATTCTTTTCCACTAGGATCTGCAGACGATAAGGGGGTGGGAAGCTAGGTTAAGGTGGTTTGAGCATGTGAAGCGGTGAAGCCCGGTGCGGAGATGTGAGAGGCTTACAGCGGTGGGCGGGAATGTGGAAAGGGTAGACCTAGGAAGAATTGGAAGAGGTTAGTAGACATGACCTTAGACTTCTTGCACTTATCGCGGATATGACCTTAGATAGGAGCGTCTAAAGATTTAAGACTAGGATAGTTGGGTAGGCGTTTGGGCTTGGTAGTAGTTTATGCAGTTACGTTCTTTCTATGCTTGGTGTTTTTTGTTTCATTGCGTTTTTGCTTTCTTTACCCTTAGCATGCTCTGTGCTTCCTGTGTTACTCATGCTGTGGGCCTCTTGGAAACAACCTCTCTACTCTCGAGTAGGGGTAAGGTCTGCGTACATAACCCACCCTCCTGAGATCCTACTCTCGCGGGATTCCATTTGCCACATAGTAGCACTTTCTCAACTACTACTTCACAACTAAAATTTGCCTTCAAGTTTTTAACTTGCCTACATATAGCATAGAGGTGATCATTTTGCATGTGTATCCATCAATCCATGGACGGAAGTACTCCATTAGTTGATTTCACATTACAGAGGATATTGTTTATGTTACTACTTTGTTATTTTATATGCTATTTATATGTCTATCAAAACTTTCATGTTATGAATTTTTGCGTTCTTGTTTTTATATTAATGTATCATATACATGTTGGTTAAAATATATATAGTCAAGTCCAGTCTCCTGAAATGAAAAATCTGATAGCCGATATGAATATCAAATGACTGTTTCTTTTGCAGATTGTGAATGTTCCTGAAAAAGGGGCAAGGAAACATCCTCGCGGTGAGCATATTCAGGTAAAGATGATCTGAAATGTCTCTTTTCAAAATAATATCTTTTCATGCACTGTACTCAACCCAGATAGATGTTTACCCTTTTGGCACACGTATAAGACTTTGGGTGCTTTTCTACTCTTATACAGAATATCTCAATGTCTCTCTCATATATAATTTGTTAAAGTTAAATTAATAGTAGGCTGAAGCAATCTTCTCTCTCAGGTCTCAAGATCAAAATATTACATCACCATATTGTTGTGCCAATTCAGCTTGTAATAAATCTTATTTTTAGTTAGTTGCTATATATTATCTGCTTTAACTTCAAGATTTGTTAGATTTAATTGTGGTTCACGTATAGCTGAATGGATAATGGGTCAATGTTTGAGTCAGTTAGTATGGAGTCAGTTATTATATGTAGTCGGTTAGTGTGTCTTTCATATTTAATTAAAACATAGTTATAGGTACATTTCCTACAAAACAAGTGGGTAGTTTCTAATATTAACACTTGTGTGGGTTTGTTCTCTATTTATACTCGTATTAAAGAACACAAAGAATCCATTGTAGTTACCAACAAATAGTATTATTCTGTTTTGCTTTGATCCGATTTTATCTCACAATTGGTATGGGAGCAACAATCCAATCAGGACCTAGCATTCAAAAGGAACAGGTCTGGTTTGTGATCAGGGGGTGTGCGATCAGCAGCAGAAGGGCTCAACCAGATGGTAAAACAGAACATCAGCGACTTCTCGACAACAGATGAGGAATCTTTGACTAGATTTCTTCCTCGCCTAGGACAAGAACAGCAAGTGGATAGTTCTTTTTGGCAGAAGTATTACAACAAAACAATGCCGGAAAGACAAATCAGTGGGGTAGCTTTTGTTTAGCGGCTTGGAAGATGGAAAAGCAGGGGGCTTGTTTTCTGGTTGATGGTCGATTGCAGGTGGCTTACGACTTGGGAAGGAATTGAAGTCTAATAATCTTGTGAAAATTGTTGAAGGAATAAAAGTCGTGTAATGGGAGACAACCCAAACAGACAGATTGTGATTGCAAGGGAGAATAGTTCAATATCGTTTCAGGTTCCAATTCTATCCGCTTTAAACTGCACTATTTGGGCAGTGAAGATTAAAGCAATTTTCAATCAATTTTCAATGTCAATGGAAATTGGGAGGTAATCAAACGAGGAATAGAAGCCGATCCAAAGAAGAACAATATGGCGATAGCATATCTGTTTCAAGCTTTGTTTGAAGAGATCGTGTTACAAGTTGATCAGCTTACCGAAGCTAAAGAAATTTTGGATGCTTTGAAGACTCGCTTTGTTGGTGTTGACAGAGTTAAGGAGCCGCCATTACAGACACCAAAATCAGATTTTGAGTCTCACTTGATGATTTTGCTGGTTAATTACTAATTAGCCAACTTGCATCATAAGCAAGCAGCTTTGGGTCTGCATTTGAAGACAAGATTGGTTCGAAAGCTTTTGGCTTATGTGCCAGAAAATTTCATTCATATTGTTGCTGCATTTGAACAGTTTGCTGGCCTTAACACAATGACATTTCAAGAAACCATTGGAAGATTGTAAGCCTTCGCGGTACACATCAAAAAGCCCATTGAGGAAGGAGATATGCATGGTAAACTACTATTCACTAAAGGTGATGTAAAAAGGTGTTGAAAAAGAGAGGGTTAATGAGCAAAAATGTGAGCATTGTGGTTGCGGGAGCTCAAACCAAGAAGACTTTGGGCGTGGCCAAGGTAGAGGTTGGGGGTCTGGGAAAGGTTAAGACACTGGTTGTTCTCAATGGGATACGAGTCACATTAGGTGTTTCAAGTGCAACAAGCTCAGGCATTTTGTGAACGTATATCAAAAATGGGTTAAAAAAAGACATTGCAAATTTGATTCAAGATGATGATGAGGTTTGAAGAGACGATGATTAAGGACGTGATTGTTTGATTTAATCGGGTTTGTTCACTTATAACTGAATGGGTAATGAGTCAATTTCCGGGCCAGTATGGAGTCGGTTATTATATGGAGTAGGTTAGTGTGCCTTTCATATTTAATTAAAAAAATAGTTATGGGTAGTTTTCCCTAAAAACAGGTGAGTAGTTTCTTGTATTCTAATATTAACTGTTGTGTTGGTTTGTTATCAATTCATATTAGAGAACACAGAATCCAGTGTAGTTAACAACAAAAATATTCTTCTGTTTTGCTTTGATCCGATTTTACCTATCAAGACTGGTCTTTTTTATTACATTATTTCATCTTTTGAATTTTTTTACATTTGATATGCCCTTGTTACGTTGCAGATAGATACAAAAGACATCCTTTTTATATGTGGTGGAGCATTCATTGATTTGGAAAAAAACATTTCAGAGAGGTGTGTTTTATTTTCATCATCCTTGACAAGAAAAGGATATTAATTGTTCTTTAAAATCTGATAATTCTGATTTACCTTATGAATTCTTTGGCAGACGGAAAGATTCTTCAATTGGGTTTGGTGCTCCAGTACGTGCAAACATGAGAACTGTCGGAGTAACTAATGCTGCTGTGACATCTTCTTTGCTTGAATCTGTAAGAACAATGACCTGCAGGAGACTAGGAAATATGAGTTCAAATTTTAAATGACCTTTAAGCAAATCTAGTTTTGTGTGTGATCCTGAATAACCCAAAATTCATAATTTTAGGTGGAGAGCAGTGATTTGATTGCATATGGCCTCATACCAGAGTTTATTGGACGATTTCCTATTTTAGTTAGTTTGTCGGCACTAACTGAAGATCAACTTGTTCAGGTAAAATTATTTTTTTTGCTTTCGCTGCATTGAAGTGGAATATGTTTTAGTAGATATTCCACAACACACATCACCTCATTGCTAAAAAAACAAAAAAACATCACCTCATTGCTCACTGGATAATATCTAAATGCTGCTCAAGAGTGTTTTTGTTTTCACTATTATGACATGTTCACTATTTGCCTCACTATAACGTGTGTGTCTATATATATATATGTATGTGTGTATATATATATACATATACATATATATATATATATATGTATATGTGGGATTGACTCCAGTGAGATGACATGCTTAAGTGAGATGACGCCAAGCTCACCACACAATACTACAAAGCTCACCAACAAACAATCCAAAGCTCACCTGGAAATTAAGCAAAGCACACCACTTTGAACACCAAAGCTCACCTTTTTTCTAAATTTTGAAAAAAAAAAATTAATAAAAAAATAAAGTAAATCCACCGGTCAACCACCGGTCAGAGGTGGTGCAGCGACGGCGACCGGCGGGGACCGGAGGCGTCCAGCGGTGGCGGCCGGCAGCGGAGCGGCGTGACCGGCGACTGGCGGCGGCGACCGGCGGCCGGCGGCGGTGGTGGCAGCCGGAAACTTGCGGAGGCGACCGGAAACTGGAGGCGGCAGGCGGTAGGTGGCGGTCAAAGGTACCGGTCAAAGATCAAAATCTAGTCAGCACCCCCTCTTTTGATTTTTTTTTCAAAAAAAAGTTTAAAGTGTTGAACAAACATGGTGAACTTTGCTTAATACTCTGGTGAGCTTTGCAGTTGTCTTTGGTGAGCTTTGTAGTGGCTCTTGGTGAGCTTTGCGTCATATGACCGTAACTTGTCATCTCACATTAATGTGTCATCTCACTGGAGTCAATCTCATGTATATGTATATGTATGTATGTATGTATGTATGTATGTATGTATGTATGTATGTATGTATGTATGTATGTATGTATGTATGTATGTATGTATGTATGTATGTATGTATGTATGTATGTATGTATGTATGTATGTATGTATGTATGTATGTATGTATGTATGTATGTATGTATGTATGTATGTATGTATGTATGTATGTAT